CAGCTGTTGCCCAGATTAGTCCAGATTCTGTAACCTAGGACTTTTATACATAGATGAGTGACGTGATGACCACCTAAACCCCTGGAGGTTCGTGGTTTGTTGGCTCCCTCAGTCGATGAGCTATCATTTAAAATAAGCCACAGACAATCGCATCCTGAAGAGATAGATGCCAGACACCAAAATGGACTTTCTGGTTCTGGAAGAAGTTGAGCAAAACAAAATGAACCTAACCTCAAAACCTGTTGGATTCAGATCTGTTGTTTAAGGATACGAGGCTAGCTGCCTATATTAATCCTTTCCCGGTAGATTTCTTTGCTTGTCCGGTCCCCTTTTGAAGGAGTCACTTGATGATACGGGCACCACTTCATCTGGGAGTCGGTTCCAGATGTTGATTACTCGACGCGAGGACCATTGCGCTGCGGAGACTGTGTTCGTTCTTTGCTTTTGTAGATAGATCAGGTTCGAAGTCATTTCCTAGAATCCCTTATAGAATGATTAGGCCTCCCCTCTGTCTGCTAGAAGACAAAGTGAAGAGGTTGAGCTCCTTAAGTCGGTCTTCATAGTCAAGGCCAGCCATCGCAGAGATCATACGAGTGGCTCCCCCTGAGCTCCTTCCAGGTCTGCGTCACCTTTCAGACTAGGATTACCCGTCCGTGTACAGTTTTCCAATTAAGACCTAACTAAGGATGTGTGTACGGCGGTGAACATGTCAACACTTATTTTCGTAGACATTCTACGTAATGTCCACAGAGTCCTGAAACCACGAGCCGCTACCAGTCGACAGTGAGTCACGGTTTTCGGGTCATAGCTCGCCGTGACTCCTAGGTCATTGTGGGGTAGTACTGACGGTAGATGAGTCCCACCAATATCGTAGGTGTTGCTGTGCGTCGCAAGTGCATGCTCACACACTTACATACACTGATAGGCATCAGTCACCTCTCCGACCAGGTAAACAAGCTGTTTGGGTCTGCATGAAGCGCACGCATTCCCTCATCGTTCCACATTTCCCGCTGCATTTCTACATCATCAGCGTAGAGAATCACAAGAGAGTTCGCGATACCTGGCAGCTCATTTACGCACAGGAGAAACAGCGAGGGGCCCAGGACCGTGTCTTGTAGTGCTCCACTCTCCACCCACTTCCAATTGGAGAGTTGACAATTGATCTTTACTGTTTGTCTCCCACCGACAAGAAAGCCTCTTATCCATGCTAGCACACTGCCATTGGTTACAAAGCTTTCCGGTTTTCCGAGCAACCTGAATGAAGTACCTTGTTGAACGCCTTACTAAAGTCAATGAAAATGACATCTACAGGTATCCTACCACCTCCAGACTTAGCCCAACTTTCTCCAGCTGTAGGGAGGTTCATCAAGCAAGAGAAATTTCTGTGAAAACCGTGTTGTGAACGAGACAGCAGAGTGTCTCTCTCTAGGTGGACTCTGATGGTTTTCGGTTACTCTTTCTGTGATTTTCTCTGTAGTACTAGTCAGACTTATCGGTCTGTAATTTGATGGGAGCTGCCTGGAACCTGCCTTATGGATAGGTGTTACTATGGCATCCTTCCAGCCGTAGGGGAGTGTGCCTTCACTAAGAGACAGTTTGAATATAGTAGTCAGTGGGCCGGTTACATAGAGTGTAAGCTCTCTGAGCAGCCTTGGTGCAGCTCATCCGGTCCCGTTGACTTTTCTACGTCGAGATTACTTTATGTCCAAAATACATCAATGCGATCGGTGTCCACAGAGTTTATTCTGTTGGATGTCAATGCTTCTACTGTCGGATAAGTGTCCACAAAGGACTCGTATGTGAAGATCTCAGTAAAATATCCAGCCAGGGCTTCTTCGTTTTCCCTATCGTCCTCAATCAAACGGTCAGTTTCAGTCCCACTGATTATGGCAGGTATACTGTGAAACATCTTGTTTCTACAGTTCATATAAGAAAATAACCTCTTTGGGTGTTGTGATCCTTCACCACCTCGGATGTATCAAGGTGGGTGCTAAGACTCCGACACTTTTTCGTACATCGTAGCAAGATTCGGACTTCGTGGCTTATTCATGAAGGCGTTTCTCTCCTCCCGGGACAGTCCGCGGAATCAACGGCTGGGTTACTCATGCATATAACTGTTTGATGAAACACTACACACCCTAAACTGGGGCTTCTGGGCTGACTGTCCAGTTCTCCGAAGAGTCCGCCAGGTTAATAACTTCCATATTCGCTTTCCATATGTTGCATCTAGCTGAGGCATCGGCCCGGTACAAGACGTCTGCTGTGAATTTGAAAACCACCACAGCCTGGCCAATTTTACCAAGAGGTGCCGCATGAAGCATACATCAATCGTGTGTGAGAATACCAAGTCTAGAGCTGATGCAGCATACTGATGATCATATCTGGCTGGTGTCCTAATGCACTGTGTGAGGGCCAAGGAAATTTATGGTTCCACTAACCTGTGGTCTAATGAACTGATTGATGGTCTGTTGTTAGTCCGTCTCAGTCAAATGACGATGCGTTGAGGTCTCCTGAAACCATGTCCCGGCATTTGTCTGCCCAGAGGGTCAGCTTATTCAGGAGGAAGTCTGCTGCCTCACACTCAGGGCTTCGATATATTACGATTACGTTAACACCTTGCCCACGCATTTCAGTCGGAAGTGCAGCATTTCATATGTCCCGCTTTCATGTGCAACCGTCTTTATGGCTTTTACAGTTAAGGTTTTCTTAACGTAAAGGATAACGACACCACCTTTGCGTGATGACCTTGCACTTTCGAAAGGAACGAATCTCTGTGTTTCACGGCCACTGATCTAAGAAGAGAGCCAAGTTTCTGAGGTAGCAGTGTTGTCAGGGCTTTCGTTGCCTGTCACATTACCAGGCTGGGTCCACGTGCTGAGTGCATTTGTGGGCAGAACAATGAAACTACTTAACCGAGTTTCCGTCCTATCCATAGAGGCTTCTGCATCACTTGTTGCCGAAACCTCACTACATGAGAACGCACTATTTTCAGATCTTGCTCTTCAGCTGCTAATCTGGAATTTTGGTTCTGCTTGTGCTTCTCCTTTTTTGATGTGATCAGCAAGAGCCAGATCCTTCCACATGAACATTAGATCCTTGAAGTCTAAGTATTCTTCAGAATCTGATTCCTGTCATCTGCTGACCTGAACACGACTTTAAGTAGCTGAAACTTGTTTTCAGTGATGACTGTCTCCTGTATACCGACTCGATGTTGAGTTAGGTGACTCCTGGCATATTTCTGGTAAGAGCCGGTTTGTCGAACTTTGTACCTTGCCAAGATCATGTTTGGAACGTCTGCGTGGCTCTGAGTCTTTACTTTCTTCCACTTTGTGGAAGCCGGTTCGGTAAGCGTTACTGGCCCCGTAGACTTAGTTACTTGCCATTTTTTGGAGTCGGGTGTGCAAGGTTTACTGAAGCCCAGTCAAGTGACACTGAGAGCCTCAGAACAAACTTGCATCCCGTTCTGTCCAGCTCTTGTCAGTGATTGGGTTGCCGAACTGGATGTGCCTGTGGTTTGCACGGTTCCGTCGTTGGAACTGAGGGCGCTTTGCCCCCGTTTCTTACGTCTGAAGTAGACCTAGTCTTACGATCAGCGGTTTTCAGACTGGGTCTGCCAGCTCTGGGGATGCGAAAACCAGAAAATACCCGCTTCACACTGCTTGGCGTAGTTCTTTCCAGATCGCTGTCACCAAACCTAGCAGGTGGTCTACGCGCCCGGCTCACAGCTTGTCGTGGGACGTTCTCAAAATTTTACTGTTATTTTCACTGTCACAGTTATCGGCTCTGATCCTTGACGACAGTTTCTTAGTTATCGCATTCAGAAATGTTTTCGCTTCTTCTACCAGGGTTCGAATATCCGAGCAGCACAACGTACAAAGCCAGACACTTCATGCATCGCTGTACCTGTTATATGCTGAGGGTATGAGGCTTGTGCAATTACCGTGGAACCAACTCTTTCATTCCTTTCACTGAATACCAGAGGCCACTGTGAAGTGGCACCCAACCCCACCACAAGCCTTCTTATGAGACTTTTGGCTCACCATGTAGCAGAAACAATGGAACTTCAGGCAGTAGAAGTTCCTGTCTCACTTCAAGCGAATAATATTCCGAGTGGAGCGAAATAACAACAGCCTTTGATGTGTAAACATAAAAAATGCCATGAATCTAGCTGAACATGGAAAGACACTCCCTTTTTCAAACAATGCACCTCTTACAAATGAGGTAAAGACAAACTGCCTGATTCTGCCACTTCTATATGCATTTATCAATTCAACTGCTCCTGTGAAGCGAGTTAAATTGGGTGTACAATGAGGCAATTCCGTCGTCGAGTTTCTGGGCACTACCCATCATGGTTGAACAAGGGACAAATTAGAACTATAAAGAGTTCCATACTTGCACACTTAGTTGACACAGGACATCAGGTAGTTACTGGAAAAACCCTCAGAATTATCCATCAGATTCCAGTTAATTTAACTCGTGGATTACGCACTCAGTTACTTCACATAGCAGAGGCGATTGCAACCCACCTTCACAAACCTAGCCTTTGTATCCAAAAGAAGTGTGTTTTCGACCACTTTCATTACCGTGGCCGTCAACATAATGTAACTTCTAGGTTTATTTTGTGCACCTATTCCCCTTCTTGTTTCTATCAATATTCATATTTCCCATTTTGGTAACTCTATTGATCATTCACATAATTATTTCCAAAACACCACGTGATTGCTAATTTGATTAAATTGTAAACCTATATATTTGTGTAGAGTCCAAGATGAAGACCTAATTGAAAAGAAATATATTTCTTCGCTCAGTCTTTTTCTAAATGCCAGAAATCTAATAAATATGGGATATCTAACCATTAATCTACGTTATCCAACTAAATTAACATAAAACATTTTACCAAAATATCCCTCCAAATTTAACAATCACCTTTTGTTATAACCAATCGAGTTTTATTGTCTCAGTTGCTTTGTAGCTTTGCTTGATTTAAATGAAGTGCGGAAATGTTGGTTGAGAGCATATTTGTATGGATTATTAAATTAAGTAAGCAATCCAACATGTATAGCTTATGCAGTTTAAGGGTTTTGCATGAAATTTACTGTTTTTAAAGTCAGTTAGACTCTTACTAGGTAGTAGGTGAAGTGCCTTCAGTTTTGAAGTTATAACTGTGGAATTGGTTTTTCAAGTTTTTCTTATCGTTTAATATGCATATTTTATTCTTCATCTACTTTTTTTATTGTGTTATAAGTTATTTCTGCTGGAAGAAGAATCGAAATGCTTTCTGTGCTTATATGGTTAAATAGTCTTCAACAATTGTTAAAAAGCAAGATAGGACCTATGAAATATAATAACTGACAGTTTGGATGCCAAAATGTAAATTCTTGAAATTTTTTCATAAAATCTACTGGCTGTTCAATGCCTTACTATTATATTTGACACTACATCGATATGGTGTTTTCGGAATCACCAACAAGGTTTCTTTTGATTCCAAGTCATGTATTGTCATAATACACAGCCGCTTCTAATAAGACAGTTTAAGGTAGAATATTTTTGTTCCAGTGAAGCACTATCTCATCCATGATGCTCCATTTATATTGACTTACTCATGAAGGAACTATTGAGTTCAGGAAAAAGAAGTCCCAGTTGAATTATTTTACTTTAATTCCTTTGAAATAAATTTAAACCGAGGCGAACAAACAATGGCAAAAACAACGATCTTCATCATCCATGGATGAAAATTAACGGTCACTAGTTCATACGGTCATGTAGGTAGGAAGGTGACAGCTTGACAATCTTGGTTCTGTCTACAAGTTTGAGTACGTTAATTCTCATCATTCTAGGTGCTATTACTACTTTTCCCTAGAGGGTTCCCAACTTCTCAAGTTTTAGATTACTAAACACCTACTTACAGTTCCAAATTTACTGCATCCTGTTTGGTCTAAACAGTAAGGTGTTATGATAGGGTCTAGCACACTATAGGTGGCTGATAATCAACCACACAAGAAAGCATAGTTATTCCGTTGCTTCATCTTTTAAACTTTACTATTATATGTCACTTAGAGTGGTTTATTATACCTAGCTGATATTTGAAGTAAAATGATGTGCTTGAAAGAAATACAGTATTTTGAATTAATTTCATCAAGACAAAAACCTTTATTGCGTCGTACTGATTTATTAGTTTAACTATGAATAAAAACAAAAACTGGCCAATCCTAGCTTTTCACATGAATTCGATTAAGTCATATGGAGGTGTTGAAATATATGGAGAAAAAATTCATATGATACAAAAAGTAGCGTAAAAGCAGGTAATTTGTGCAGCAAAAAACCTGGTAGTGGTTGAGTGTTCTTTTGGCTTTGATGTCAAGGCTCATAGAATACCATACCACCATAATAGTCATCCTGAGTTAGAAAAACTTCATTTCAGTAGAAAAGCTGTTGAAAGTCAAGTCTATTGATGAGGTTGTGAACCTTATTCGTCTGATATGGCTTGAACATGTACTGCACATTGCCGGGCTACCACCTACTTCGACATTCCATGTTATGGGGAGTTGGATTCGCTTTGAAGAGGGTTCAGGATAACCAGATCAAGACGTGAAATCAGTCGACGAAGTCTCTGACCGTTATTCTGAGCCCCATGAAGAAGTGTAAACTGTAAACGACTTAATTATGGGTGGTATATTATGTTTGAAACTTCACCCAGTAAATAGTGCCCTATCAGAGTATTTTTATATCAGTCAAACAAACGTGGTTTACACAATAAGTTATTGCAATTTCGATCAAGAAATCAGACAATTCGATCGCCTAATTGATCTAGGAACTTGAAATTAAAATATTGTGCTGTAATACGAATTCTTTGGTTTTTCTGCGTGCAGATAATCAGAGTCATGAGTTCGGCTGGAGGAACTTTAAACATCTATCAAAGTGCATCGTGGCGTCGAGTCAACTAGCTTGATGGTCACATGCCAAAATGAACGGTAGAATTCGATAAGCACTTAGGACTAGACAACATGAAGTTCGTTACTCTTCAGTGGCCAATCAATGGAATATTAAACTTTTATAACATGAAAGTTCAAAACCCAGGAGTTGACAAACTACTGAGGACCTAGTATTTGGAGAAAACGATCCTAGTAGTCACAGTAGTAAAGGGAGCTTCATCCAAAATCGATGCATTGGCAGTAGGAAGCTTGCATTTCTTTTACTGAGATTTAGGAAATTGTTTATACCAGTTAACTTTTTGTGGTATGAAAAATCAAAAAGATGAAAATCGTTAACAAATGATAACTGTTCCTGCATTATCGTTTAATGTTTCATTCTGGGACAGCAAGATGTTGTTGCTTGCAGTAATCAGTATTTCCCAAACACTTAAGTGGATGTTGTATAAAGTTATTGTTTGCGTGATTGGTCTTTCTACTGGTGATTATTACATCCTGTTCATCAGTAATAATTTTCATTTAATCCAATGATATAGTGGCCGGAAAACGAACCAGTCTGGGTTTAAACTGATTCTTTAGTTAACTGACCTTCAGATAATTTCAGTTCTGTGTTATTAGCTTACAAAATGACTTTAATGTTTATATTTTCAGTCATTTTGTATCTCAGTAAGTCTTTATTTCATAGTAATGTTAGGCATTTTCCATACAGCTGTTCCACCTTTTATCAGTTCAGCGTCGGTTGGCATTGGTATTTTGGTCTGTGTAGGCATTTACAACAAAGTCACACTGTTAACTAGCTTTCTGGTGGCTCTTCAATTTTTTGAGTGGTAGCATTTGTCACTGGTAAACTCTACTACTGGTGTCATTTAACTCCACTGGTTAAGAAGTCAACTGACAGTATCTGCTGTGGCAACTCTGACCGTTACGCATTAATACCTGGTCCTATGTTGATATTGATGATGATGATGATTGACAGTATCTGACTTTTCAGAGAGTCTACTATTCTTCTGAAGTCTGTTTGCCTGAAGGTATATGGAATCATGTAAAGACTTTGACATGGCTAAATGCTGAACTATGGAATACAAAGCTAGTGAGTGTTTTGTAGAAGTGGACCAGCTGTAGAACTTGAAAATCATGAAGATTTTTAATCTCGCAGTATGACTTTACTGACTATCTAAAGGCAAACAATTCTACTGCTACAATGATACAACTAATCTGTAAATTGCACATGAGTCTAAATGAAGGGGAGAAATACAGACTGAGATTTATCCTAATCAAAAGTTCAATTATGCGAAGAGAAAACCTATTTTAGTATGTTTCCACTAAAGTATTTGTTATACTCTCAGTATAATGCTGTTAATCTTTACACACATAGCGAGACAACAATTTGAAAATTCTCACTTACTTTTTAACACACTTCTGGTGAAGTATCAATATGTGAACCAGTAATGGTATCGGTCAAAAAATTCCACTCTCAATATTTAAATGTAGCTTTGTTACTGACGTTTTTATGTAGGTGAATTTATCTCCCTTAGTGAGTGAAAAGTAGCTAATATCATACTGTTTAGTTTTATGTCTCAAGTTTGGTCGCAAAACTGAAAGACTTTCTGTTGTGTAGCTCTTTGATTGATATTGGGGATATGGACTAGACAACATTGGATTGGCTCCTCTCTAATGACCAGTCAATGCATTCAGTTTTCACAGAAGGTCAGATGGAAACTGATTGAATCGGTCTGAATGGGACAGTGTAACTTGAGTTAAGATCTCTGACGGCCCATCAGTTTTTTGGAGGCCGCAGACAGACTTGGCTGGGAATTAACAACATGCACAAAGCTGAGGTCTAAGGCTTTTTTAAGACGAATTAATCTAGGTTCTCATCTATTTCAGCGTCATTCCACTGCTCTGAATTCACCTCTTCTGTTTTGTTGAGAATCGTGATAAGTCGTGGTGTGTCTCATTGGCTTAAGCGCTTAGCATCTGATCGATTGGTCCCATGTTCACAACCCGTTTCACCTATTTCGGTTTAGGTAACTAGATGTGGCTGACAGCCTAGTACATAAACACTTTTACCGGGTTGAATTGCATTAACTGCTGGTGAGAATTCGTGAATTTTTCGTTGCTGCATTCATTATTCACAGGCTAATTTTTATCTTATCTTCGTTCTTTAGATTTGGTCTCTTCATTATCATGTTATCAGTGCAATTCATCGCACCACTCCAATTGCTTGGAGCATCTGGTTGATTTGGGCAAGCATTCTCTCCAACCAACACCTTGTACAACTTATGGAGCACGATTTTGTATAAAGACTACTGGGATTTACGGTGGTGAGTTACTTGGACGATATATATATATATATATATATATATATATATATATATATATATATATATATATATTTACAAGTTGAGAATTCTCAGTTTAGAGCTGGAGACCGTATGTAAGTGTCCTGTTCAGTTTGAAACTGATGAGTAGCTTTCGATTAATTGAAATCAGAGTGTTACACTTGCCATTTAAGTTAATAGTTGTTGGTGAACTACCAACCAGTCTTTTTCAGCAATAGTCCAGTTCATCTTAAGGTTTTTTCAGTGGAATATATGTGATTTGGCACAGTTGATTGTCATTACCTGTTATCGCCTTTCGATACCCACTAATATTGACGATCATTGCACCAAACTCTTGTCAATCCGCATTTAGGGCACCTCCACTCCTCATTCCCCACCGACAGCCGCGATCTTGGCGTGGTGGTAAGGGTTGTATGTCACAACTACCCAACGAGCTACAATGATCAAAATGCTTGTTCTCTGGAGGTTTTACAAATCTAGAAAGGTTCATTGGTTGGTAGTAAGATGAAGAGTACTTACCGTTGTAGTTTTGACTGAAACACTATGATGGGGGTCCGGGGGTGACGTCGTATTGCTGACTAGATGAAGTGTGAAAGCATTAAGGTGTTTTTCTTGGATGACCACAGTACCATACTGATGTTGCCTCACTAACGGGAAGGAGAGGTTTCAAAATTTTGTCCCCCAAAATAGCACACTTCTCTCTGCCTCAAAGTCTTCCTGTGCCGGTGGTATAGGTTTTCTCTATCCGGCGTTAGAACAATCAAATCCCACACCAACAATCCTTAAACGGCTCTATATGAAAGGCCAGAGCAGATGTCATATGGGCTCTGTCGTCACATAAATCTCCCTCTCTTTCAGTTATCCTAATAAAAAAATAGCGTCCCACTATGTGGGCAGCCGGGAAATGTCAATCACCCCCACGCTTTCAGTAGCATACAAGACCCAATCAAGCATAACCTTCACTTCACGTCACCTTCACCTCATCTGAGGATTGGGGAAATTCTCGAAATTCACCTTACCTACCAGTATCCAGAGACAAATTGGCTCTCCAACTGTCATGGACTCACTGGTGTAGAAGTAACATTGAGCTATAGAGCAGAAAGTGCACATCTCGACTGGATATTACTGAACAGCCATTTGTGTGCTGTTCAACTGAACTGATCTGCAAAAACTAGGAAGGATTATTACACTAGCCGATGCCTATTCGTAATCTGCGCATACATACCTACTGACTGCAGATGATGATGCAAGTATGAATTCGATAAGAAGCTGTCAACTTCGCTACAGAAAGCAAAACGTTCAAATGTGGTCATAATGGCAGGTGACTTTAACGCTCAAGTATGGAAGCTGGGCCAATCGGAAAAGCATAGTGGCGGAATCCCATACCAACGAACCGACAATGGTGATCGTCTGTTACAATTTCGCTCCGACAATCACTTGTTTCTGTCAAGCACTGACTTTGGGTATAAGGAGATAACACTGTCTTACATGGCGTTCGCCAGCTTCATACCAACGATGAATACAGGTGGATCACATTACTATAACCCACCATTGGAGAGGATCGATGGACGATTGCCGCTGTTTATAGAGTACTAGTTTTGACTCTGATCAAGCGCTAATTCGGGTTTGTATATGTCTATGCCTTACTGGTTGCAGAAAACAGATGGCAGTAAAGTCTGTCTGTGTTAATAAGAAGATGAAGACGTCAATTATGTATTTAGGCAGGAGTTAGCTGAGCATTTATGTGAACATGACAGCAATTTTCATGCGGAAGAAACCTGGCACGATATTAAGTCTTCTGTAGAAACAGTGGTAAAAAACAGTTGGTCACGTACACCTAATGATTAGCAAGTGTCATTGAGTTTCCGGGACGTCATCCAAACTGATTGATGAGAGAAGACTGGTTCCAGCTGGCTGGCTCTGACCACGATGAAGAGCGAAAGCAACCCAGACATAAACTAATTAATAGTCTTCGCAGTGATCTCGAGCAGTGGTGGGTGGCGAAAGCTAGAGAGATAGAGAAGGATATCGGTAAGAATAAGACGATAGTTTGTGAAACCATCCACTAGTAAGGATGGGAGCTCATATAGACTTAGTACAGACGGCATAAACGTTGGGCATAACGCCTTGAGGCGTAGGCCATCTGGCCACAGAAACGTATCAAGTGCTAAACATCCAGTCTGAACCTGAATGGGACGTGCATGGTGGTCCTCCGATTCTCGTCAAAGTTGAGATTTCAAGCAACTAAAGATTCCCGTAAGATTTATAAAAATGAAACAATCTGAGCGAAGAACATTGTTTTCAATAAATCCTCCTCAGATTCTACAATTATAAAATGTATTTATACAGCGTAAAATTAAGCCATGTTATGGGCAGTTACATTTTCAAAATGGAGTGAGATCTAAGAATTGTAAAGAAATCAATTTATCTTTTTTAAATTGGTCAGTATCGGAATGATACATATACAAAAGAATAATATGATGGTGAACAAAAAGATAACGAATAAGATGGCAGGAGTGGCCTTTAGTTTTCTGAAGGCCAATGGAGAAGTAACGCTTGGACATGTTCTTTCTGAATGCAGAGTTCAGGCTTGATCAATCTTGTTGCAAGAGCCTCCGCTATGTTTAGCAAGCGCTGACGAGCTACATGTGGTGTCGTTTTTGGGACACGATGAACGACACTGAAAGCCTTATTAGCATCTATATGATGTCCTATTTCGGCTAGATGCGTTAGGACTGAACTTTCAACAATTTCACTTCGCCCTTTCCGAACCAAGCTCGTTTCCGGAGACGCACCTGTCTAATCCTACTCCCATGTAACTAGTTCTATAGGATCAGTCAAATTGATATATGCAAGATGAAGAACTAAGATTAGGTAGGCTATCCTCTAGTTTCGGATTGAGCATTGGCCGACTACTGAATGATATGCAAAACTGACCTGCATAAAACATCCTGTTGACTGCTCTAGCTAGGCGTCGTGATGGAATGTCATTTGCAACATCTCCCTTGAATTGTAAGCGCAGAAAAGAACGCTGCATCGAACCTGAAACCATACGAAGCAGCAGGCTGTGTCGGTTTGCAACCATAGTGTCTAGGAAATGAGGTGGGAAACTACTGGAGAGAGTAACAGAGGAACTATGTGGGATATAGCACCCAAGGGTAGTCCCATCCTACTGGTCTGAGCAGTGTAAGGAGGTGTAGACTACCTGACCGGCTGGGGTTCCCGATATGATAGAAATCACTTTTCGGGGACCCTTGATGAAAGGACTAAGAATCTGTCACAGCGGCCCAGATATATTCACTCTTTGATGTTTTTTAAAACCTAGATGTTTTGACCAACTGTAGTTTTTAAATTCCTTCTCGTCCATTCACCTTTGTCTACTTCGATATTAGTCTTCTTCTACTCGTTGTTTGTATGCCTCTTTGAAGTGTGGCAACTTGAGCCAATGCACTTGTGTTCCAGGTTCTACGTTGATTTTGTTTTCCCACTCCTCATTTTACTGGGAGCGTATAAGTCTTCATTCCTTTGATTCAGATCAAGCTTTTGATGTTTAATGGTCTTCTCTAATTTTATTATCTGGTTAGCATTTATAGACTCGATTGTTTTATTCACTAGTCGCTAGGCTCTGTCGAAATAAGTAGCACTAACGCGTTTTCGTTACCTCTTTCACCTATGTAGGCAGCGCTGTTTCAACTACAGGTGGCACGGACGAGGACGTCGAAGTCAGGATCGGAAAAGCAAGACAGGCTTTCATTAACCTGAAATCAGTGTGGAGATTTTCTGCACTCAGCATAAAGCGTGAACAACATCCGGATTTTCAACACCAACGTCAAGTCAGTGCTTCCATGTGATGGTTCAGAGACTTGACGTGGTATGGAAGGGATTTCCAACAAACTGCAGACATTCATCAACAACTACCTATGCTGTTTCGATACTGAAGATCAGATGGCCAGAATAATGAGAATAAGCAACAGGGAACCTTGGCTGGCAACGAAGCAAGGAAGCAAGAGGCTATCGCTGAACAGATATGCAGAAGGAAGTGGAGATGGATTGGGCATACACTGAGAAGGCGGACTGGGGACATCACGCGCCAGGACCTGGCCCTCGAATGGAACCCCGATGGGAAGCGAGGAATTCGGCGTCCGCGGTGAGGGTGACATGGAGGAGATGGTGTGAGGAAGAAATGAAATGTTGTTGTCAGTGATGGAGCTAGATTGAAAAGACTGTAGAGAAGAGATTGCACTGGAGACGTGCTACGAACAACTCAAGGGACAAATAATGATAATAATAATAATAATAACGCGTTTAGTCAACTTCTTAGTCAGTTTATCTTAAAGACAGTCTTTGAGGATAGCTTTTAAGTGTCTTCCGGTTGAGATTTTCTTACATCCATAAAGTGACAAACGCATACATGGTGATTGTTCAAGCATTACTTCAATAGGACTAATACTTGTTTATCAAATCCCATTATTCATAGTTGATAGCGATGTGGTCTATATATTTTCACTGTTGCGTTGAAGCCAGTAGCCATTATAATTAGTAAGTGGTTAAAGGATCGACGTTTAGTGCACGACATACGTTTGTCGCATGACGGCTGCCTTAATCTAGGAACGGTCTGAAATCATATCAATATTACACACAGAATAAAGTTAGATTTCACAATACAGGACTTACCTATCCTCTAGAACAAATAATGAACCGAAATTACTCTTTCATGTAATTTGTTTTCATAATAAATCTGTCCTATAGTGTGTGGTAAAACGATTTTAATTTTTCAGTAGTTAGTATGTTCGAGTAATCCAAACAATCATGTGAAGGAAGAAATAGAAGTACACATCTCTCACTTGAAAGAATGGATTGGTAGCATTCTTTGTAATAACTCAGACTTACTGTTTGAAGTCTAAAGAGGCGAAACTAACTAATCACGATAGAAATTATATCCAACCGACCAGTAATATTTATCCTAGACAGCATAGTTTACCAAAAGTACTCATAAGAAGTCTTACTAGCATTCCCAAATGGTGTCTGGTATTCACATTTTGAACTTGTACAAAACACGCATCTGTCTTTAAAATATTCATGAAGTTTCCAGTAATACAGTCGAGAGGTAGTGCGAAGTTGGTTGATGTTGAAGCAGCTGAAAAGTGTTTTAAAACTAGTCAGCACTGAACAACGGATTTATTCAAGTTTGTAAATCTAGCAGTGCACACACATGCCCCCATGCGGGATACAGCCCTTATGGGGTCGAGTGACTTCAGTATGACAGCAGGTACTCGCTGGTAACGTTTGATAATTGGATTATAACCGGCTGACTAAATGATATCGTTATCACGATGAAATATGGTTCAGGGATCTATTCTAAATGAAGTCATGAGTTCGTACCACTGAAGACTTCTGGGCAAGGACAAAACAGCTATCTAACATTCCAGTCGTAATTGATTAACTAGAAATCAGTAATTTTGTTTTGTTTTTTTCTTTCTCAGCTGTTATGGGTATAACACGATTTTGTAGTGCATGGGACTTGGGGAATGAATGCCAGTACTTAGATTTCCCGGATCATGACCGAATTTATCGAGCATGTGTTTACAACTTGTTCAACAGATGCATGCAATTCAGGGACACAGAATTGTAATGCACTCTTTATGCTTATTGCATCTTTGTACATATTCATGCGTTTTTACTTGACAATAGATATTTGATAATGACCGATGACTGCTGGCATTGAACAGTTGACTTACTGTACCTCTCTTCTCGTTTTTGATACTTTTGTGATTAATTTTAACAATAATACACTCTTATTTCTTAAATTTATGAGATCAAAAATGTAAAATAATCAAACTTTTCCCTTCTATTTTGTGATATTTTGATTTAACGATAGTGGAAATTTATTCCATTATAGAAATTTTTTAAAGGGTTTCTTTGCCTGATTTAATCCCGTTACGTTTGTACATTTTCCTAAATAGTATCTACTACTCCAAACTATCAAACCCAAATAATGTAAACATGAGAAGAAATTGCATTGCAAATGAAATATTTAGTCTTATAATTGTAGTAATTGGATTTATTTTCAAGTGGTAGCCAATGTGTGGATATTTAGTGCTTCAAGATGTTCGAATCTGCCTATCAAGTTTACAGTACGATTTCCAAGGTAATTGACATGAAACATAGTGTTGACCTAGATTTCATTTTTTGTTGTTACTGTTATCAGAAAGACATCTGATTACCAATTAGTGTACATTGTTCAACCCTATATAATGTCAGTTACGACCTGGTCTATGATTTTAGGGCTGATTGTAGTGCAGTTTCAAATGAGTGATAGAACATGAGTTCCCTGAAGGTTGCAGATATACTTTCCTGATGAAAACCGGTAGGCACGAAACTTAGATGACGCACAACAACTGCCAATGACTATTCATGAGATCAATTAGTCTCAAGGACCATGTAATTTCAAATGATCTGCAATTGGAGGCAGCTTACATTGAATATGCTCGACATGCAACTATCTCAGCCAGATAGAAGGTAAAAGTGCTAATGTTGAGAAAAATCCTGTCTAGTCTTAGATAAGACTCTCCTTATCCAGCTTAGGATAGGATGGAGAACGGAGATGGAATGATGAAATATTTTGGTGGATGATTGATAACGTTTGCCATAGTTATCCCAACGCTCCACCAAGTGGTTTCGCTGAAGCTTGAATTTATGTTCATGAGTTTGGTAGATATAAGGATAATAATGAATTTTTTGAGTGTATTTATCTACCAGTGATTTCGGTTTGTTTAAAAGATATGATAACAAGATCAACCGCAAGGATGAACGATAAGCTGTGACTAAACTGCAATATTGCACTACTGAATAAGTTTTCAGATGAAAACGACGTTTTGAATTTCATTAGACTGATATTCCTAAATGAGCATGGTTAAAGCTGTAAAGTCGATTGTATAAACATATGAAAGGCTTTACACGTTAAAGTGTTAACAAACTGGGAAATTATCATAACGCCTCAGGAATTTGTGCTTGTTTGCAGCGTGATAATCTGTTAAATATTTCATTTATCTCATAAAGTCGACATGGAAAGAATTCAGAAATGTATTTAGATAGATAGCACGAACTGTGATCCGGTCTTTGAGGTCATAGTGTCCGAGTAACTAGGCTTTAAAGCTGATCACACAACTTAGAGAAAAATACACTAATTAGTAGTGGTATTTCCATCACATATCTAGCTGCGAATCTATAGACATCTTAGTAGATGATATACTGGCCAAAGAAGTGAAGAAGGGTGGGTGCGAAGACAAAAGACAATTCCACGACACACTTGCAAGTGAAGCAGAACAGGCTGCATGTAAGAGAGACAGACACCTAACAACATTGTATCAAATAAGCAGGTTACTATCTTGGAGGGGAGAGATCAACACAGATGAAACCAATAAAAGATGATGACGGAAATTTAATTGCCAAAGAGAGAAACAAAGGAAACGATGGGCTGGCCGACCACTTCAAGAAGCTTTTGAATCGACCACCATCACTATCTGCACTTCGTCCAGAAATCTCACCTGCAGCCGCAGAACTACAAGTGAACACAAGCCCTCAAACGAAAGTGGAAGTCGTGAGCGCCATAAAGCTACTGAAGTGTGGGAAAGCAGCAGGACCAGATGGAATCCCGCCAGAAGCAGTGAGAGCGGACGCAGGCACAACAGCAGAAATGCTCACACCACTATTGCAGAAGGTGTGGAAGGAAGGAAGGGTACCTGCCGATTGCAGAAGGGCTATCTTGTCAAAGTGCCGAAGAAGGGAGACCTAAGTGTTTGCAAGAACTGGCTCGGAATCATGCTGCTTTCCATGTCCACTGGAAGCAAGCAGAATACTAACCCGCATTATCCTGGAGAGACTGAAAAATGCACTGTATTCAAAATTATGACTGCAGCAAATGGACTGGCTTCAAGAAGTACAAATTATGTGCGAACCAAATTGCAACACTTCCTATCATCATACACAGAGCATAGAATGGCAATCAACTTTCGACCTTAACTTTATCGACCTTGAAAAGGACTTCGACAGCGTCGACCGACAAGTAATTTGGAAACTACTTCAATACTGAGAAGTGCCACAAATCTTTATCAACCTTATTCAACAACTATATGAAGACGCCACATGCCAAGTAATTCATAATGGGAAGCTCAGTGATGCTTTTGAAGTGAAGTGAAGACAGGAGTGAAACAAGGCTGCTGCTTACTATCACCCATGATCATCCTGATTGTAGTGGACTGGATCATGCAGGAAACAGTGAGGAGCGAGAAGAGGGGCATACGCTGGCTGGACCTATGAAAAGACCTCAGAAGAAGATTTGGATTACGCCAATGACTTGTGTCTAGTGTTACACAAACTTGAATATCTACAGGTGAAAACTAACAAGTTGACAGAAGAGGCAGGGCATGGCAGCGAAGACGGGACTTTAGGTGAATGTAGAGAAGACAGAGATGATGAAGATACCCAACCACCACCACCAACAGTAACAACAAGCTACAATCACCATCAAGGTGAGAAACCTAAAGAAAGTAACCTCCTTCACCTATATAGGCGCCACCGTTCCAACTGCAGGTTGCGGCACAGATGACGAGGTCAAAGTCAGCCATGATCGGGAAAGCAAGACAGGCTTTCATTAACCTGAAATCAGTGTGGAGATTTCTGCACTCAGCATAAAGCGTGAACAACATCCGGATTTTCAACACCAACGTCAAGTCAGTGCTTCCATGTGATGGTTCAGAGACTTGACGTGGTATGGAAGGGATTTCCAACAAACTGCAGACATTCATCAACAACTACCTATGCTGTTTCGATACTGAAGATCAGATGGCCAGAATAATGAGAATAAGCAACAGGGAACCTTGGCTGGCAACGAAGCAAGGAAGCAAGAGGCTATCGCTGAACAGATATGCAGAAGGAAGTGGAGATGGATTGGGCATACACTGAGAAGGCGGACTGGGGACATCACGCGCCAGGACCTGGCCCTCGAATGGAACCCCGATGGGAAGCGAGGAATTCGGCGTCCGCGGTGAGGGTGACATGGAGGAGATGGTGTGAGGAAGAAATGAAATGTTGTTGTCAGTGATGGAGCTAGATTGAAAAGACTGTAGAGAAGAGATTGCACTGGAGACGTGCTACTGAAGCTCTATGTTCCATTAGGATCCCCAGGGACAAATAATAAAAAATAGTTGTTTGCGGAAGCCGAGTGTGTATATAGGATCTGTATTCCGGGAACAACTTTTTCAAATACTGGATAACAGAATCGTTATAACTGGCTAACGTCACTTTAATAGATGAACGAAACGTGTGTTTATAAGGATATTTTGTTGAGTAGGAAAGTTTCTTTGGATAATAAGTGAATTCTACACTCCAATCAACTCTTAAGCATTCTCAATGGATATCTCTGGGTCAACTGATCTTTGACAAATTATAAAAGAAGCTGTTCCACTCATTTCGGTGAATACGTATCACTTTGCATTTATGACATATAGATATTAACTTATGTGTTGTTAAAAAGTGTTATCTGTTCCTTTGAACTCGACTTATCGGTATTACAAAATTAGGTGGTGGTTGTAAATAACGGATTCTGAAATGTAAGATTCGCAAACAACGTTTCAAAATTTGTTGTGCAAACTTACACTTTTATTGTTCATTCCATTGAGATTGATTATGTTGCATGGGTTTAGCCCTTCTGCATTATTAATCAAATGACCGTGAAACTCATTTCATTTTATTTTCTGTTTTCTTCTGATGTGCTCATGGTTAAGCCATGGAGGGAATGATAAAAACTGATCTATATTAGACTTGTGGAAATGCTGTGTTACTGTATCATGGTGATCTACATTAGGTTGACGTCATCTATATATAACCAATGTGGCTGAGACTCTTATAAGATAGTATTCCAATAAGAGTGAATTGTTTACTAGATTAGATTATATACGATATGTAACTGGAGTGGGAATTAGATAGATCTTTATCAATATTTCATTGTATGAACTTGTATTTTATTTAATTCATACAACTAAAATAGCTTTTCAGAATGAATGAGAGTTGATTTCAGTTTGTTCGTATAAAGATTAGTTAAAACATGTAAATTTTAGGGCTGGCACACATTCTGAAGGTTAATCTAAATAAACAGTGTAAGAAAATTCGATTATAGAACTAGAAAAATGAAGCAATAATTTCAGTGACTTAACCTTCCAAGTGTTTTAAGAAGTATATTTTTTATAACTTCAGTCGCCACCTTTTTATATTAAAAAAGGGGTGAGAAGGTAGTAGAGTTAATAAAGAATCGAAGGATTAAGTAGTATGAATGAGACAAATTAACTGGAATAGGTTGAAAAATGTTTTGTTAAAAGTTGCAATTGTTAGGAAGATCAAATGAAATAATACCGGAAACTATTAAATGTAAAAATAAAAATGATATTAACGGTATAACAGCATCTGAAAGGATATGCATTAAAAGTTCTGTCCTTGAACATCTAGTCGATTCCAACCATTCAAACAACCCAAACAATGGTTTTAAGGTTGTCCATCGAACTCCCTCAAACATCTTACTTTTCTTCTATCTTCAACTTCTAAAAACAGCAGAGGCCTTTGTTGTTCATGAACTGA